TAATATTCAGGTTGTCAATATGAATGCCTTAAACATGTGAATAATTTTGTCGGTTTCAATCACGTATCATATTTTTTCGTACATTTCAACAGTTTAGCAAAATAATGTCAATGTTAAAAACTGCCAGCATGTGTTTTTTTAGAGGAAGAGCTATGAAACTGCCAGCATGTGTTTTTTTAGAGGCCTCAACTTCAGGTCTGAAGACGAGCTACGGCTAACTGACAATGGCTAATTGACAAAATTACTAAAAGTTTGGCTTGGATTATGCTTGATTAATTATTAATTATCGCAGTTAATCCTGTGATTAATAAGTTGAAAAAAATGTAATTGTTGACAAGCCTAAAACTCTAGTTCCAACAACACAAACAGAAACAGACCGATGATCTGAAGACCTCACCGACGTCTCAACGACAGACCAATATTTCATCAACCCTTGGTCCTCGTTCTCCCCCGCCTCCCCCGTCTCCCCCCACTGCCTCTCCATCACCTGAACCTGGGTGACACCGTCGCTCCCTCTCCACGGAGGTTCGCCGCTCGCCAACACAAAGTATATTGTGTGAGTGTGACCCATTAAGGACTTCTAAGAGAAGCCATCGGTGACGGCAGCACAAAGCCACGTGCTGTGTTAGCAGTCGGCTGTGGAGAGGGCAGGAATGTGGCCTCGGACTCGGCTTCCATTTATTCAGCGTGCAAAAAAAAAAAAAAAACTGAAGCAGCAAAAAGACAGAGAGATAAATTTTGGTCATTCTTTAGACGTTAATCCTTTTTGGAACTCGAATAACGTTTGATGAAAAGAGCAGCTGGTGGTGAACACGGTGTGGAACGCTACGGTTGATGAACGGAGGAAGAGCTGACGTGGTTTAAGTTTGGGACGAAACCCGATTAAAGTCTTAATGATTCAAAGGTGTCACTTTGCCAACGCATTTTTATTTTTTTTAAAAAAAAGGGGATTTGGGTTTATTTATATATGTTTGTTTTTCAAAGGTTTTTGTTTGTTACAACAGAAAGTAAAATGAAAAGCAAAAGAAAAAAAACAAAAAAAAGGCAATATATAAAATTTAATGTTAATGTTGTAAAATGAAAAGCAAAAGAAAAAAAACTAAAAAATATATAAAATTAAATGTTAGCCAATAAATAGATACAGGTGGCAAAAATAAAATGAAAATAAACATAACTGAAGTTTTCACCTCACATAGCAAAAATAAAATGAAAATAAACATAACTGAAGTTTTCACCTCACATAACGTGTGATGCTTATAATGAAATGTTTGGTGTTTATAACCAAGAAAGCTCCTAAAATCTGTCTTTGTCCAGACATTAACCTCAAAAATAAAAAAGTAGCTTAAAATATCAACAATGAGAACAACAACAGAAACAACAACAAACAAAACAACAGTAGGATAAAATAATCAAAATCAGCAAGAAGCTGGTTGAAATTATAATAATAATAATTTGAATTTTATTGATCCAGCACTTTTTTCTTTCTAACGTTATGAACAGCCAGAAGTGACTACTAACTGTTAATTAAAATAAACCTGTTTTTCTGCCGTGATGTTGAGCTTGTACTTCATATACTGTACATATATACAGTATATATTGTAATGGTTTGTTAGCTCCACAGACACTCCATAAACAAACAATGTGTGTCCTTCACTCAGACACACTCTGCTGTGGGAAACAAAACAAATCGATGGAAGAACGGGTTTTCTGGCCCAGGATCCTCTACCGTTAGAGGTGTGACTGAACCGGCTGTGTTGCCAGATTCAGACTCACGTGTCAGCCGTGGGAAGATTGGTGGAAGAACGACACCTGTAAATTAATGAGGGAAACACACGACCGACTCCCTGTCTATTCTCTTGTTGACAGATTGACGACCTGTGGCTTTTTTATAGAAATGTCAAGACTGTAGAGCCAAAAGTTTAGATGTAGAAAAGGTTTTAAATAAATGGGCTTTAAAAAAAATCAGCTGGAATTTAATGGGATTTTTTAATCTCTTAACAAACAACTTTTTAGGTTCCTAGATCAGGTCACTAATGGTCCTTCAGACCTTCAGACTGGCGGTGTGAAGTCCTGACCACCCTGGTTCTCCTTATCTGGTCCATCTCCTCCAGCCTCGGGGAGAAAGCCCACTAATAACAGCCCCCCCCGCCCCCCGACCGCGAGGGTCTCATTTGTTCTTTTAAACGCTCACTAATGTGCTATAATGGATGACACGACGCAGCCACCGATGTTTGCAGAAATGCGACAGTAAATGGAAAGATCCACCGGTTTGTCTCGTCTTTGTGCTGAAATGAAATTATCCCCAGCAGGGATTCCCATTCGTCCTACTTTACTAAATGAAATCAGCGTTGTCGTCTCCATTGTACTGCACGTTATCGTTGATGTCTTTGGAAATGGACGTCTTTTGTCTTCGTCTGTCACTTCATGTAGACACATTTGTTGAACTGGTTTAAAAAAAAAAAAAAAACGATTTGAGATTCTTTGGCTTGTAAAAACAAGTCGACTCTGCCACTGTTGCCACTATCCATCCATCTTGTTCCTTCACATTTGAAAGGCACATTCTACATCGACCTTTCACCTCCCTGGCCGTGTCACTTCCTCTCTCCGCTGGTGTCCCGCCTCGGGCCCCCCCGGGGGGGGGAAGGGATAGAGGAGGTCACAGAGGTCAGCAGGTTGAGCTGTCAGCACAGGTTTCACGTCTTAAGTGAGGCCTGTGAGGAGTTGGGGGGGTGGAATGTGCCCGGACCGTAGGACACGGTGTGGGGTCAGAGCTCAACAGATTTACGTCTGTTACCACTGTAACTCCATCAC